GCCCGGTAGATTCTTGCAAATGCCATTAGGAGCACTAGGAGGAGCCAGAGGAACCAGATTTTCAGCTGTTTCAGCAAATATGACAAAAAGTTATTTTTTTAAAACTTACCTACTGAAGCTAGCATACTCTAGTTTGCCTAGTTGGCAAGGTTTTCAAAACATAGCCTATAAAGATACCTTCAGCTGCCCTTCTCTGTCATGTAACCAAGAGTATGCAACACATGGCTAAACTTGACCTCTTCCCAGCTCCACCCATCTAATTAGCATTTTTAGACTTGATGACTTCATGGGTATAACTGAGAAAAGAAAAAAGTCAATAGTACGAGGTGTAAATGCAATGGCCCAGTAATCGGATGTCATTAACCAGATACAATACTAATAATACAGAGACAAACTGTCCATGTGCCCAGGGCAGTAAAATGCTACTTTGGGCTAGTAAACCTAGCAACTCACCTGACCAATTAGGAAAGTGGTAAAAAAGAATGAAAAATGTTTTGTTCTGGGAGCTGATGATGGAAGTAGGTAAGGAGTGAACCATCTCGCTTCCTTTTCATCTCTGTGGAGAGTTGCTCAACAGGGATTGGGCACTAGAGAAGAACGGTAGCAATAAAACCCTTTGGGATATTTGTAAGTGGGCGATTTTAGAGCTAGATAAATGGGACATTGATAGTTCCCCTTCATGCTCTGTCTGCAGCATATTTCCTCCAAATGGCATGACATTCGTACAGTTCCGTTAAGCTGTTGTTACCGCTCATTACAATTCAGTGGAAAACATAGTAAAAGTAAAAGCATTTGATTATGAAATAACCAACCAGTCGAAGACCGAGCTGCAGAACCAGTTTCCTGGGGAACCTCTTTCCACATTCTTCAAACCTCTTCTGCAGGTCTATGCCAAGCCTGTCAATGACCATGAACCTATACCTGGAAGGTATACAGAATACTTCTTCAGTACCGCTTAAGTGTTGGTGGAACTGCAGCAGACATACAGCACTTCAGAACAGCAGAACTATCCAATGGACACATCAGGCTCTACTATTTCAGGTGTCTCAAAAGAAAGTTCGTTTTCAGGCCACAGAAGGTAAACTGTGAATTCCCAAAACATTTAGCAATGTCTGCACTTCTTGCAAAAGATTTATATGAAATATTATTAGCTACATTAAGACCTTAAAGTCCTTGTTAAATGTTGGCGAGGACTTTTTAGTCTTCATGATTAGTTCTATAGTTCTTACAATCAGTTGTTATTCTGGAGAGACACCAACTACACACCATCATCTGGTGTTTACAGCAGCCAGGAACAAGGAACTTTCATTTTGTGTTGATTCTGGGGACCACTGTCGACAAATGCGGTAGTGTTTCCACCACCTAATTTTATTAGTGAATCTGACCAAATACAACCTGATGTTGGGCATTAAGAATAACGATATGGAATACCAGTCTTCTTGCATCAGTAAATTTAGACTGTTTCATAACCAGCTAAACTTTGTGTAGTACGTTTAACATCTGGGGATAATGCAAAAGTTTCTGGCACATTTCTGCTGTATGTGCACCTTCCTAGGCAGCAATCAAGGCTTGATCATCATTAGTTCAGTGTCTTACTATAGTACAGTACATCCCCCCTTCCCGTAATAACAATGAATCAATAGCAATCAAACTCTTTAAAGATTATATGGTATGAAAATTAAATCTTTTAAACATATTCAGGGATTTAAACTAGGTAAGACAAAAACAAAATTAAATATAAAAAAAATACAAACAATACAAAAATATATTGTATCATTTGTAGCAGATCTTATTTCCGTTATGGTATTTTTTGCAATAACTTTTGTGTTCTTATATTATTTATTATCATATATCATTTTTGAAACATGTACTGTTTTATATCCTACAATACAACAGAGATAAGTTTTCATTTAAACATAAATTATCTTTTTTTTATTTCAATAGCTAAATGTCATATTGTTAAGTGCAACTTGAGTTGCTATGATTAAATAGCCCAATTTAATTGTATTTAAAAAGGAGTTCAGACTATTTTCTAGTAACTAGTTTCTCTGTTAATCTGCTGTCAAAATGACAAAGGCTTAAAATGAAATAAAAAAGCCTAAACTTATGTATGTATATTTTCTATGTCAGGCATTTTGTTCTTGTTCAATTATGTAAATAAAACCTGGTATTAAATCAGTAGCATAATATAGGGCTCCTTTACACCAGGAAAAAGCAAAAAGGTGAGTGGTCCTGGTCAAAGTCTTACTTTCTCCCGTCTCTCTCGTGCAGACCTGAGCCCCAGTACCTGGGAACTCCCAGACATTTCAACTTGTGAGACTTCATCCAGCTCTGAACTGCAGGACAAGAGGAAACTCATTAGAAATGTTTGAAGATCTTTCTCTGGCCAATATGTCCTTAAACTATGTGTATGAATGTATGAAATGCACAGCGTGTAAATCCAATGCAATTTGGTTTCTACTGCTTCCTGTGAGCACGCTGCTAACTGCTGCTGGTGTAGGTGGGTGATGGCTGTGATGCTCAAAGTAATAAGAGCATAATTCCGTGGGGGGGAGCTGGGCAGCGTGGCCGCAAGCTAATCTGCTGCTGGGACAAATATTTACCAACAACGTGAGATTCCAGCATGAATAAAATATGAGCCTTTGGTTCCTTAGTAATATAACAGTTAATTGTCAGGGGAGATTGACATTTGGATTGTTATTATATAAAATGCAAAGCTGTGGCCTGGGGGCCAACGGCACTGCCACCCAAAGCTTCCCTTCCTCTACAGGGCCCCTTGGTGCTGCAGCTACAAGACGGTCTTTTAATTAAGAAAGTTGGCTTTCTTTTATTTGTTTGCCCTGGTGGTGAAAGACTATGTTGTGTTATGATCACAAGGCTAACTTTGGCTTAATGACATACTTCTAGGTGTTTGTGTGTATGTGTATATAAGCAAAGATAAGGTGGCTTACTCAGATCAGGCTTAGCAGCTCTCATGTAAAACTTGAGCTCAGAGAACAGTGGTCCATTGTCACTGGGCTCCTGTGGACAAAATGATAAGTCCATTAATGTCTACATTCTATTCAGCATGTGTTTAGACCAAAATATAGCACTGTAAAAACAAGGGGCTGTGTTGTTACTAGGGCTGTGTACTGGCAAACATCTAGCAATATGATACGTCTCATGATACAAGGGTTTACAAGTTAATATGTTTGGATATATTGAATCGTAAACCCTATAACTTAGAAATATACTGCAGTTTTAATTTACAATACATAGAATATACCACCATATGCATAAAAAGTAGAAATGTGTAGTTATTCTTGTAACATTCAACATCATAGCCCTCAGTTTACATTTACACGGCTATCTAGCTGTTAAACACAAAAAAAAGAAAGAAACGATAACGACAATATCACAATACTGAAGTGTATCACTGTTGTCTTACATTCCTAGTGTACCTACAGGTGCAGGTAAAACATTGAAATGCAGTTCAAACTGTCCAGTGTAACTGACCCATTCATGAGTTTGAATGTTTATCAGGCATAGTGGTTAATAATACTAAGAAACATATCACTGGCACAGTTGGGACATAAAACTGTGGAATTATGGCATTAATGTAACAGTTCATCTAGCAGGATTGTGCTGGGAATGTACAGATATTATCAATCCACCATCTTAAATATCAATAAACTGAAATTGGCAGTTGTTTATTGTGTTAGGTTTCTCTTCCAGCTCATAGGCTCTGATGAGCCGGCCAGACTGGTTTAACAAAGTCAAACACTTGTGAAGAAGTCCTGTCGGGCTCTGACTGGTCTGAACCTGACCAATTTCCTGACTCTCAAAGACTTTATCACTACCTCTAAACTGTATAATTCTATTTATATTCAAATATATATATATAAAAGTATAATAAAGTTTCAAAAGATTTTTGGTTTACAACAAGTGATTGTGTAGATTAAACACCAGATTATGTTGAAAATCAAGAAATTTTCAAGGTGTATATTTAAATTTAAGCATACTCCGAACCTCGAACAATGAACATAATCAAGACTATATACAAACCTTGCCACTGTAAACAACATGGAACTGAATACTACTTTGCACTGACGGAAGGGGGCTGCGTTGGTATCTAGGAGGTAGTCTATTGCTTTTTAAGGACATACACATGTAATGTACAGTATGTAAAACACGACAATTTCTGCTCATGTTTTGGGGTTGTTCAATCTTACCACTTTGATGACATAGCGAGCATCCTCACCCACCGCTTTTGCAGAATTCTCATCAGCTGGGGAAGAAGAAAAGGAAAAATTGCACAGTGCAAAGTTGCATTTAAATACATGAAATAGCTGAGCACTACAAATATTTGAGTCTGAGTTAAAAATAACAAAGTAAAGTAGTAAGTATGATGGATGATAATCAAATCATCTATATACGCATTTAAGCATGTTAGAACTGGGTCATCATCTTTCCATCTATGCTTACCCAGATAGAGGAGACCAAAGCCCCCCTGGCCGATTGGAGCCCCCAGCTTCCAGGCCTTCTTCCCGGTGTCTGTCAGCACCTCTCCGGGTGGGAACTCCTCTGCCAGCTTCCTTTTAGCCGGAGCTCTGCCCTTCCCCGCCGCCTTCACTTTAGGAGGCATCTGAAAGGCACACAGTCATCTGTGGCTTTAGCACCGCTCCTCCATACTGGGAGCAGACAACCGCTCATACAGCCTCACTGGAATGACTGAAGCATAAAGAACTACCGAGAGTGACATGTTCTTCTTTCTTTTCACTAGCGAAGTTTGACAACTAACTTATGTTTAGTCGTGTACATTAGTAACGTCAAGCACCTTGTACGTTCAGTAAACATAACATTCGTTAGCATTGTAATTAGCAGTTTGTGTAGTGCAAAGCAAGCCTAAGAACAACGTAGGGTAAGTCCAGGAAGGCTACGTTAGCCGGAGAACGGTTTAACGGTTACGTTTTTATAAACGCTGGTTAGCTAACCGCACTGTTTCGTTAGCATCGATATTTCACGTTAGCTGCTAGCTAGCTACGTTACATGACGACGTTTAAAAATAGAAGCTCACAGATATCTGCAACGTTGTCAGTAAAACCGCCACTTACACGTTTTATTCAACGATGAGAGGAATACACACCTTTACGTTGTTTGTTGTAGACTGTAGGGTGTAAGCTGTATGCGGACCAAACTTCCCTCAAAACTACCGGTCAGGAAGTGGCGTCACGACAAATTGCTATTCTATTGGTCGATTACGCTGCGTAAGTTACGACAGCGTATGTGCTTGAAGTGGATTGCGGATTTGTGATGTTTGGGTTTACTGAGCAGGTAAGGCAGAAGAACCCTAACCCAGGAAGAAGCCTTCCCCAATGACAGATGCGAGTGTACGTTAAACATAAAAGTAATTCCCATGTTGTATAAACACAGTCCTAAGCAACAGTCCTGTATTTGTATGACTGGCATAGGCATTTGTGCGCTTTCTTTAGCTTAACCATGAGGAATATGGAAGCCCATTCCTGCCAATGTGACGAAAAAGGTATTCTGTAGGTCATTCTAATGAGAAATTGATGATTGAACGAAGAATGAATTGAAAGAGAATACTGTTTTTCCATCACATGCTCATATTTTTGTGAGTGACATCCAGCTGCTGAGCTGTGGGCTGCTGTTTTCTCGCTGGGCTTACAAAATCTATGTGTGTGTTGTGTGTTAGTTAACGTTACGTTAGTTAGTAATTAGTTTAGTGAGTAACTTAACCCCTAAACCACATGTATATGGGTAATTAGTAGTGTTGTTGATCGATTAACATCCAAATCTTGACATTTTAGGGTAAGTATTTTAATTCTACATATTGCGCTATAATATGCTAAATATGCTATAGTCTATATGTTGAAACCAAGCTAATGGCGGTGTACGGAAGCCGAGAACGGCCATGGATTTTTCTTTTTTTTATGCACTGTTATCTCGGATAACGATTAATTATCTCGTTTATCTCCTAAACAAAGGATTGTTTTTCTCATGATAACGAATTATTCTGAATGTGTTCGTCTTGATTTCAACCTACAAGAGCTGCCACGAATGGCTTCCGTAGCCACTGGCTGAAGCTGTAGCCTACTGGTAAGTTTGGTAGTTTGTTTACTTGACTGGGTTTGTTTAGGGGCTACGGGTTAGCAGATGAGACAAACTCCTATCTATCCGGCTGCGAAAACAAAAGTCTTTCTGTTATATCGAGATAACGAAATAATTAATTTGTTATCACGAGAAAACAATCTTTGTTATATCGAGTTAACAAGATAATAAGTCGTTATCACGAGATAAGAGTGCATAAAAAAAGAAAAATCAATGGCCGTTCTCAGCTTCCGTAGCGGTGAATGTGCTTCTAGTGACTATAAAATCTCCTGTGGACTCTTTGTGTTTTCCAGCACAGACATGGAGAGTCTGACAGCGGTTGCTCATGGCTGGTTAGCTCACTGAGCTCTGACTACTACCAGCTGTATTCCTGCTACACTGAGCGTAGTCGGTCTGTCACTCTGCTCGGTGTTACCTCCAGAAAACAGTGGAGTCACAGACTTAACAAACACTAACAAAAAGTGCAGTTCCTCTAACGGCCACTGAGCCTGGCTGCAGATATTAGTCAATCTCTATAAGAGACCCACTGAGGAAAGGCTGTTGTGTGGCACATGTGTTCATTCTCATTCGTAAATTCATTGTAAATATACTGCAAATTATAATACAAATGTATAATAATGTAATACAAAGTATTTGACTAATTTGGCATTTTGTTAATTAATTGGTGCTTTTTAAATGTAAATGTTACTAAGAGTTAGGCCTAGGTCTTTGTGTAAAATGCTCTTGAGGATTTGAGTCCACTTTGTGTATATTTTGCATTGCTTACATCTCTCGCTTGTCCTTCATGCTTCAAGAGTTTTTGATAAATGTTGCTGTAGCCTCAGGTCCTTTTCTTTGGTGTGTCAACAGCTGATAAAAAAGGAGAAACTAGTGGATTTAATTAGGAAACACTAATAGCTTCATCTGTGACCTCAGCCCTGCATACATTCCTCTGTTTTGACACACACTGTTTTGAGCTAACCTTGAGCTAAGTTCATTAAAAAATGTAACAAAAATACTTTGGGGCTTTCATAAAATAAAAAGCCTGTCAAGCATTTTGCATAAGAAATTTAAATAAATTATTATTGATTTCAACCGATAATTCATAATAATATAAAGTTCCCATTATCAGCCGATAATTATTGTGCATCCCTAATTTAAATGCAATGTTTAATCTGTTAATTGTCTCCCAGAAAAAAAATATATAAAAAAATTACAACCAAAAATGTTTTTTATATTTTTAAAAATTCCGCTTTTTTAAAATTATGAGTCATTACCAACTGGTTGAAATGTCAGTTTGAAGGTAGATCTGCAAGTTGTCAAAATGTAGATTGACAGCCAAAGGGCATTTTCAACAATTAGCAAATTTGTGTGCATTAAAGTAAAAAGAAATTGCCACTTTGCTCCTCAAATCTCTGCCTTTTATCCATTCCCCATTCTAACTGCAAAACTAAAGGTGACCGTGCCTTTGCTGTTTTAGCCCCAACATTGTGGAATAGTCTTCCCCAATCACTCAGATTCACTGAAATCTGTGGACTGTGTTTTAAGCGGCTGTTTCAAAAACCCACCTCTACAGGCAAGCCTTTTTATAGATCTCCTTGTTGGTTTTCTCATCTGTCGTCTCTCTTTTATTAATCCTTCCACTCTTGTTTTTCCTTATGTTTGTATTTACATGCTCCCTATGTATGTTGGATTGGGTAGGGTTATACTGTTTATTTGTTGTTTGTAAAGCACTTTGGATCTCTGCGTCTAAAAGGTGCTATATAAATAAAGATTTACTTAATTACTTACTTCCACCTCATCTCTCTGTCCCCTTGGTTTAGAATCTATACTATTTCCACACATCCAGTTTTAACTTTTTTTTTGTGGGGATACAATGAGCAAGCTGAGCCTGCAGTCATGGGACAGGTTTAGGATTTTGGGATGATTGAAGAGATGCGGGCTTGCCCTCGTGACAATTCAAAATAAATCAGGAAATCAATATAGGAATGTACGTTAGGTAGCTCAACAGCTTTTTCAAGTCACTTGTGTGAGTATATTCACCATTATTACTATGCGTACTATACTCATACATTGTCCCATCACTAGTCCAAAAATTGTGTTTTTTGGTTACAGTGTTTGATTTTATTGTAGCCAAATATAAGAGAGTAGTTTGTGCTGCAGTTAAAATAGGAAGAAAAGCTCAGTAGTTGTGAGGGAACTGCAGAGCTGGGTTAGAATTATCTGTGAGTCTGTCATTAGGGACAGAGAAAAACTTAGATTGTACTGTATTTGGAGCAATTCCCAATTGTCAGCTTTTCATTTTGTAACCAGCCTGAAACAATAACAAATCTTCCATCATGGTCAGAGTGAACACTAGAGGCTTTTAAAGACATATTTTTAGACTGCTCTGCTACCTTTACCACCCGGAGAGGAGAATACCTCTCTAGCTGCTGTTTAACTACTGTATATATTAAGTTCACTATAAGACTAATTTAATATCATGATGATATCATAATGTCATTTTGGTGGTCATCTATATTAAAGTTGCCATTCATTGAAAATAATGATAGATTTGTACAATAAACTCTTAATTCCAATGAAAATATTAATTAGAGCAGCTTTAAAGATGCATAAAGGTGGTATGAAAATAACACGAAAGTTACGTTAAGATATCACACCTCTAAATTCTGTTTTACGCAACACTTATGCCACTTCAGGCCCTCCGCTTCAGTGTATGACCTGGCTCATTTTGAACTAGGAGAAACTCTGGTTCAAGATATACTTTCCGACCTGCCCACCTCATTACATGCATTCTCCTGAATGTTGCTGTAAATGCTGAATTTGAATAGGTATGTAAATGTGCAGAGCCTTACCTATTTTGAGTGTGTCATTTGATACAAACATATTGGGTTTCACTTGCAACCCTGCACACAACTCATGAATAAGATATTGTTTCTTTTGTGTCTTGTCTTTCCAAGTGATCACAGAGTGGAGAGAGCTGCACTTCACATCGGAGAGGGCCACCGGTATACCTGTTTACATCAACTGTTGCACACAGTTCTGCTCCCTCTTTGAATTAGTATTACTTCAGTACCTGTTGCCATGGCTCCCGGAGGTGATTGGCTATGGTGGTTGTTGACACGTTGACTTGGAGCGAACTGACCCTTTGCTTTTAAATTCCAGTAGAAAGCTCTGCAGTGAAGTGAAGTCCTAAATAGAGGGATGACCCGCTGTAGTGACAATGATGAGCAGAGTGATGATGGAGCAGAGAACCCCAACAAGAACCAGAAGAAGAGGAGTAAAGGAGGAAAGCATGTGTCTTTCCCCCCCGATGAACAGATAGTATCGGGCTTCGCTGAGCACAGGAACACTGACAGGAAGGGTGAGCTGCTGTTTAACTACTCTATATATTGTGTTCACTATAAATCTGATTTAATATAGTGATGATATCATAATGTCATTTTGGTGGTCATCTATATTAAAGTTGCCATTCATTGAAAATATTTTTTTCAGTTATACGTTGACTCAACAAAAGTATACTTAAATAGTTAAGTATAAGTAACTATTGTATTTTTTTGGGTGAATTCTTAATAGTAAATACTATATTCACTCATTTTGTATAGGGATGCACCAATATATCATCCAAACTTTGGTATCGGCTAATAAAAATAAAAATATCTGCAAATAAGATAGCATTCAGCCATGTGAGTGGCTGATCTTTATCTGCTGTGTCACATCGGTGTTGCACTGGTTAAATGTTGTGTTAGTTATTTCTAAGTTGAATATTGGAGAAAAAGTAAAAAAAAACCTCTTTCCAGCACTGGCACAAATTATAACAACAAATAAATAACAACAAAATAATCAGTATCTGCATTTGCTATCGGCCAAATTAGTATTTTGAAAGTCACTGACTTTGTCTTTACTGGATATTACTGTGTAGCTTGTTTTAGATTGATATTGTTCCAATTAAAGGTAATATTAGTTTCATGATGATGATTGGAAATGTTCCTCAAGAATACATTTTGAAAGGTTTATGGTTTTTTCCACCTTTATAATGAAGATGCAGGGTGGTTATGTTGCTCATTTCAGAATCTGTGATTAACCTCGTAGTCTATTGAAGAAAACTGTAAATGTGCATTTATCCAT